AAAACACGAGGTGATTTTCTTTCTTCTTTTTCCCTGTTTTTGTTTTCTTTCTTTTTTGTTCTGTTTGTTCATTTTTTTGGGGGTTGGGGGGGTCCCGTCATGGGGCCTGAACTCTGGGCCTGGGCGCTGTCCTTCAGCTCTTCAGCTCAAGGCTAGCGCTCTACCACTTGAGCCACAGTGCCACTTCTGGCTTTTCTCTTTTTGCTTATGTGATGCTGAGGAATCGAATCCAGGGCCTCATACATGTAAGGCAAATGCTCTACCACTGAGCCACCATGGCCAGCTCTTATACAGAAAGATAGGAGTGGGTTAGAATAATATTTCTAGAGTTTTCTTTGAGTTTTTCCAGCATGGGGGCTGGGACTGAATTCAAGGTCTCTATCACTTAAACTACACTTCCTGCCACTTTTTATATTATTTTTCAAGTAAGGTCTTGCTGTATGCTGGAACTGGTCTGGGCTGCAATCCCTCTATTACTGGAGATGACAGGCATATGCAACTGCATCCAGCCACTGGTTGATATGGAATCTGGCAGACTTCTTTTGCCAGGGCCAGCCTTGAAATGCAATCTCCCTGCCTCATTTCTAGGTTTTGTGTCTGGCCTTGGAAGACTGGAGAAGGGTTTGTTTCTATGAACCACCTTGTTGGATGAGGATTTCCAATTAATTTCTCTGGCTCGCCTTGTGGGATTTAAAAAAAAAAAAGGCAGGAACAGCACAGAGAGGTCTTGCTTCTGAACCTCCTTTCGGCTCAAAGTACTCATCATATCTAGGCACCATACTTTGGGACTCATTTTTTGAGCACAATCGTGTTTCAGATTCACTGGCCTGCAAACCCAAGCAAAGAATGAGCAGTTACTCTCTCCTTTTTGGTGACAGCCTACTACAGAACAGGGTGTATGTGTGCAGTAGAGGCGGAGGGTGAGTGTAGTTTAGTGAGAATCACAATTGGTTGTTGTAAAATATATATCAGAATAGGTTATGGGAGAGGGGTAGAAATGAAAGATTTCTAGACAGATCTAAGCTCAACTGAATCAGTTTTGGGGAGCAAAGGAGAAATACATATTTAATAAACAAACCAAGTTAGATGAGAGTTGGGGACGTAACTCAGTGCCAAAGCATGTGCACAGAATGTGCATAGCATTATAATTCCTAGTACTTATTTTTTTAGTGCTGGTCCAAGGGTCTGAACTCAGGGGCCAGGGTCTGGGTACCATTCCTGAGCATTTTTTGCTCAAGGCTAAAGCTCCATCATTTGAGATACAGTTCTACTTCTGGCTTTTGATGGTTAATTGGAGAGAAAAGTCTCACAGGATTTTCCCTACCCTGGCTGGTTTTGAACCTTGATCCTCAGATCTCAGCTTCTTAAGTATCTAGGATTACAGATTCTAGGAGATACTGATACTAGGCTCCTAGTATCATTTAAAATCAAGAACAACAACAACAAAAACATCCAAAAACTTAAAAAATCGAGACAGGATGGGGAGAGGGAGGAGTCTTACAAAATACCTAAGATTTCAACCAGAGCCTTCATCACACTATGATATAGTCTCTAGCATTCATTCATTCTTCTTTTTTTTTTTTTTTTTGTCGGTCATGGGGCCTGAACTCTGGGCCTGGGCGCTTGAGCCACAGCGCCACTTCCGGCTTCCTAGTAATTTATTGGAGATAAGAGTCTCAGGGATTTTCCTGCCTGGGCTGGCTTTGAACCGCGATCCTCAGATCTCAGCCTCCTAAGTAGCTAGGATTACAGGCGTGAGCCACCAGTACCCGGCCATTCTTATTCAATATTCATTCATTCTTCGTATGTAATTCTTTGATGTCCATTGGCAGGATAAACAGGAGGAACAAAATCCAGGAGGTGAACTGATGGAGGGTTTTAAAACTATAGCTGAAGGACCATCTACTTTGCAAGACAAAACTAGATTTCATGCGGAGAAATTTTCATTGTTTTGGGCCCAGTAATCATATTCTTTTACCTCTAAAATGAGCTTTCAGACGGGAAGAAATCAGTGGTCAAAGCCAGTCAGTCAACTCACATCAATTTCAACCCAACAACCACCAGAATAAAACACAAAATAAAATGAGATCCTGGTCTTCTATCAGGTGATCTTCCCATTGCACCACGGCAAAGGCATTTAAATCCTGCCCTGATTTCCAATCGCAAGCCTAGCGGAAATGAGCACGGAAACCGGTTACTATTTAGAAAACAGGATGGATTCCTTTAAATGAGGAATTGGCATTTTGGAGTCCTCAGATTAAATTTAGACACTGATATAAACCTAAAGATGAGATCTTGTTGATGCTATGAAATATAAATTCAGGGGAGCAGGCGCACGGGGTAGGTTGCGGCACAGCTGGTCAGACCGGCCTGGCCGTGCAAGGGGACCACTAGCTCCCTGCGGTCAGAGACAGACTTTTAGGGAAGGCTTCGACTTGAGTCCGGGATCCCGGGTGTTCGGAGCAAGAAATGAATCGGTAGGAAAAGGCCCAGGGAGAGCCATAATGGGGGACTCCAGGCATCTGCTAGAGCGCTTGCTGGTCCAACAGAGACTCCATCCCTAGGCTAGCTGGTGATCCAGGGAAACTGAGGGCAGAGTTAAAGCATTTCAAGAGCACGCGATCAACCGCAGACTTGGGGGGCCGCTGAATCCCGTTTCCCGGAGATGAGGGTGGCGGCCTAGGCAGGCGGAGACCCGTACAGTCTGAAGCCTCGAGAGGCTCAGCAAGAAAAAAGATGTCAGATGAGGGGCGCTGCCCGCTCGCCTGCCCACGAGAGGCCACTGACCCGCCTCGAGGAACGCGGAGACATCGGGTCCGCCGGGCTCTCCTGGGCACCAATCCGCAGCGCGCATGGGGCGCGCCCCTAGTCACGCCCTCGCCAAGCCGCGCTGGAGCCGCCCGGGATTCCCAGGCCCCCAGTGGTCCCGTGATCTCAGCGTACCCAGTCTGTCTGGGTCCCTCCCTCTTCAAGCACCTGGGTGCCCTGACCCAGGTGCTCGGGCTCGAGGTGGGGGGCGGCTCGGGGCGGGTCCCTGCCCGTCCGCACCTGCCCCCAGAGGCGGGGCGCGTGGCGACAGCGCGGCCTCAGCCTCGCCACCAGCCTCGCTGGCCTGCGGCTCTCAGACCTGCCCCCTGCCCCCGCCTGCGAGCACCTCCACTCCGCCGCGCCCGCCCTCCCTGCCTCCACGCGGTCCGTCCACCCGTCCCTCCTCCGCCCGAGCCGCGGCGGCTGGCACTTCTGACTTCAGTCCCCGCCGCATTCATCGCCGTCGCCGCCCTTGGGATCTGGAGCTCCGCGCCATGGAGACGGCCACTGGCAGTGAGCGCGGGAGCCCCCCGGGCCCCGCAGTGCCGCCGCCCCGGGGCCACGCGCCCTTGGCTGCCGCCTCCTGCCCAGGCGGGCTGAGTCCCCCGGCGCGCGAGCCGCCGCAGCCGGAGGAGGAGCGGCAGCCGCGGATCAGCGAGAGCGGCCAGTTCAGCGACGGACTGGAGGACCGAGGTGAGCGGGCACCGCCCCTGGCCGGGGCCCCTTCCCCGAGCCAGGCCCGCGCGGCAGGATGACTTTCGGTCCCGCCTCTCCCTGCTCTGGGGTAGGACCTAGACAGGTGCGGGGCTCCGCGTCTGCGAGGTGCTGGGGGTGGGGGGCGCCGAGCCCGGACTTCCCGGCCAGGACGCAGCCCCACCTCCCGCGGTCCGCATGGCCTCGGCGGCGGCGGCGGCTCCTCCGATCCCCTCCGGGGGCCCCGGCCTGCGAGGCTCGCGCCCTCCTCTCGGCCGTCCCCGACCCTTCCGGCGCGCACTAGAAAAGTTTGCGGGAGCGGGTGTTTGGCCCCGGGAGCGCTTGGCTCCGGGGGGTGGGGTGGGAGACTGCGGACCCCGCTCAGCGCGATCGGACCCGGGTTCGAGGCGTTTTCTTTTGTGATTCCCGATCCTGGCTCTGCGGACCACCCGGGAAAACTTCCCTCGGGCCAGGTGTTTCTCCCGGCGGCCGCGGATCTGATGCCAGCACCAGGAAGGGTTAAATAAAGGGAGCTCGCTCGATCCTGACCTGCTTCTGGATTTGGGTGGGCCCAACCCCTCCTGGGGTCACAGTGGTCACTGCTCTGCCTCGTGATGATGGGGCCCGAGGGCTGTGACGTTTGCGTTCGGGCTACAACCTCATCTGGATGGGTGCCACTGAAACCCGGTGCTTCCCGGACAGCGCGTTTCCAGCCCTCGGGAACCCCTTCCCGCACACCGGCCGCGGACCCCCCGCACAAATTCGCCTCCTAGGGGGACAAACTCTACCTTTCGCCTCCTTTGAGTTGTCCTCCTGGGGCGGGAGGATTCCCTCGTCCCTTCCCGCGTGTCAGCCCTTTTCCATCCCGCCCTCGTTCCTTTCGACTTGGATCCCTTGCGGACGGAGCCGGCTCCTGATCGTATCTACCCACACCTTTCGTGGTTTCCAAACGCCCTCCCCAACCCTCGCAAAGAATCAATGGCCCTGCTACTAATCCTTGCAGCCCAGAGGTGGGGGGCGATGAGGGGTGGAGAAGGAGGTGGCTTTTGGCACCCCCCTTTCTTGATATCTTCATTTTGTCGATTGTGGAAGGTTTATGTATTTTCGTCTTAGCATATTTATGTCCTATTCTTAGTATCTCCTGTACATTTTAATTTTTTTTTCGTATTGAGATGCACGATCTCTTTCTCCTCAGAAATTCCGAAGTGTAGCTTGTGGAAATAGGATAAACGTGGAAAGAGCGGTTCCCAGGCGCAAATGCCTGGAGCTGCTCCAGTTGCAACGAGTTCTGCACCTCTGGTGCAGTTTCTCCTGTGTTCTCACAGAACTGCAAAGCCTTTGGGGGCCCGGGACTGGTGACCTCACTAGCACCCAGCCAAACCTGTCACTTTGCATTATAGGGTGTGTAAATGACTTCGGCCCTGAAACGAATATTAAGATTAAAATTTTTTTTTCTATTGAAGAAGGAAGCCCAGCTTGAGCTGAATTTTGTAGCATTGCAGGTCATCTGTAAGACCTGGCCTTTTCTCCCCATCCCAGAAAATGATGGGAGGGGGAAAAAGAACAAGAGTCGGTTAATATTTAGCAGTTCACGCACAAGTGTAAAAAAAAAAGTCTTTCTGAATTCATTCCTAAGGTTACTTGCTAGTGGTCAACTGAATTTCACTTTCCATTATACTGCCGCCTGAAAGCATTCACTGTTCATAAACTGTCTTAGTGTGAAAGCATTGCATATCACACACAGAGTCTCTGTTAGGATGAATCCTGCCCACCAAGGAACCCAGTGCCTGGTGCCCTGGCGAGCTAGCTAAGTCAGTGTGACATTCTTTTGTTTGATCCACTTCTGATCGCAAAGAGTTAATAATGATAAGGGAGTCATTTTGGCTAAATAAATTAGAAGGTTACCTGGGGGAGGTTTATTGTAATATTTTGTATTTGTGTTAATTTTTTTTCTTATGGGGCTTCATCTTTGCAGAATTGATTTTTGATATCCCTTGAGAATGGTTTGAATGCTGTGACCTCTTTCTTAATGGTGCTAGGGACCAGGAAGAGGAAACCTCTGCAGTCACCTGCTGTGCGGCTCTCCATCCTGCCAGGGCTGGCTTTCTTCTACTCAAATACTTATTGGTTATAAGGGGGGGGGGGTTTCCTCTTGATAGCTACTGACAGTTAGCTGTCTCTTATGTACTAACTTCCTTCTGATCTATTAGGACCCTATTGAAGACTGCTTCGAACTCCAATCAAAGTCTAGCTTTATAATCCAGTGTTTGGAAACATACTCCCCTTAGAAGGGCTGGTTCCCAGAAACCTAGCTAGCTCAGAATGTCGGTCATTACGGTGCTATTTCCTTCAGCCTTTTGTTCAGGGAGCTCGGTGGTTTAAGATATGTAGGGATTAATACTTCTTTCCCTTCCCTTTATAGCTAATAGAAATTCCTCTTCTTGTAGAGAACTAAAAACAGTTTTTTTTTTTAAAAAAGAGAACACAGTGAAAATCAATTGATACAATTATGTGCATCTACCCCAATAGAGGGTCAACCCAACATGAATAGAATCATATGCTTGGTATTGTCATGTAAAATTGTAAATTTGAGTGAGGTTAGAAATGTAAATGTGGAGGCCACCTGTGCTTACGAGGGTTCCAGACCTGCATACAGATCTGTAGCCTTAATTCCTATGGCACAGTTCTGCCTCTCCAGGCTACTTCACTTCTACTTCTGAAGCACAGCTTCTTGGAAACTTCAGGGAATTCTCATTACATCTTTGTGGCTTGTGAGTGTGAGTGTGCATGCATCCAGCATGGGTGTAGAGATAACTGTGTATAGACCATTCATTTAGTCTGGGCTTTTGTAAGTCATCACATTCCCCTTTAAGAAGAAAATGTTTTCCATTTGGCTATGTTTTTAGGTAGGAAAACCAGTGGGGACTAAGTAAAGATTGGATAGAAATGGGGGATATACTTCTTTGGAGTAGTTTTCCCATTGCAGTTACTTCATTAAATTAAAAAAAATTTTTTTTAAATGGGGAAGGCACCAAAGAACACATTGGGGCAAGAACCTCTATCCCACTGCTGAGAGAACACAATGTCACCGTAGCAGGTAACATAGCCCAGGAGGCTCTCATCTGTCTGTTGCTGCGAATGCTGACCCTTGGTGGGTCAGGACCGGGTATTCTTGAAAGCAGCTGACTTGGAAAGGAAAAAATATGGCATTTGGTAAATGGAAATCTTAGGCCATGGTTGTTACCTTTTTTTTAAAATAAGTTTTTTTTTTATCGTGAAAATACTGTACAGAGAGGTTACAGTTACATGAGCAAAGTAATGAGTACATTTCTTATCCAGCACTGTTGCCTCCTCCTTTGTTTTTCCCCTACCATCCCTTCCCTCCCACCTCTTCAGCTACACCCCCCCTTCCCTTCCACCTAAATTGTAAAGTTCATTTTTCTACATAGCGTCGTATATATCTCATTGTTGCAATGGGTCCACCTGTATCCCTATTTAAGCAGTTTTTCCCCTTCCCCTCCCCAAATTATACCAACATCAAATACAGTGAAAATGGGTTATACCGTGGGGAAGGGACGTAAAAATCACATGGTACCTTATAAATATATTAGAAACAATAGCAAGGAAGAAAAAAACCACTTGTGTTCCTATCTTGGGGTTCATTTCGCTTAACATGATCTTATCTGACCTTACCTTTTGGAAAACTACTTCTAAAAGAACTCTTCCTTATATTTACTCTTTTCTCACCCTGTAGCTAAAACTCTTGGATATTTGTAACCAAAATACATAGCAAATGAACCACTTATTTGAGTTTGAACATAAAGATTACAAATTCATTTCTCTTGGCCAGGATGAAAGGAAGATTTTTTTATACTTAATCTGGGAAAAGGAAAATAAATGATCAGGGGTGTGTGTGTGTGAACTGCTTCTAAATTATAGTTTCACTTGGGTGAAAGTAGTTGAAAATTTCAACTCAGTACCTGAGGAATAAACAAAGAATGACTTCCTGTATTTTCACCTTTAGGGTGGAATTTAACAGGAGAGATGGTTTTTTGTGTTTGTTTTTTCCCATCTAGATGCACTTATGAAGGAAGATTTTGGGAAAACTGTACAGTGAGATGGTGGAGATGGAGATAATATTTCCTGTTCTCACCCACAGGTGACAGCCCGCAGGTTTCAGTTATTTAACAATTATTCTCTGGGCTGTGAACAGAGTTCACTAAGCAGCCTTCCCTACATTCCTGTTTGTCCAGGGCCTGTTCAGGGATGCTTGTGGCTAGGTTATAAATGGAACTAAGGAATTTCTATGGTGTATTTGTTTTTTATGTATTTCATATATATGGGCAGAATGCATTTATTTTGGCACTGGTGGAGGCTCAGAAAATGAGTGTAGCACGTTGAATGCTGAGGACTCTGACTTTCAGGATCTTGAAAGGTGTTAGAAAGCACTGTCTCTTCTGATCTCCTGCCCTTCTTCCTCCTGGTCCCCCTTTTATCCCAAGGCAGTCCATAGAAACTAGAATTCTTCTTCCCCAAGGTGACTCAGAGAAAGTAGAACTTCCTCACAGAGTATCATAAAAACTTAGAAATATTACCCTAACTTCCCTTTTCTTTTCTGTGTAAGGGCTGATCACTGAGATCTCTGACCTCCCTTGTTTAATAGCAGGTCAATCACAAGACCCTGATTCCAGAAGTGATTATGCCCCATACCAAGAAGGGAATAGACAGGCAGGCCTTGCTCAGTTTCCCTTTGAAGTTTACTACTATTTAATCATACTATTTCTTCAGTACAATCCTTTTTTTTTCCCTATCAAACCTAAGCATAAAAATAGCTCTCCCTGTGTATTCATTTCTGAAGGCTGCCATGTCACATCAAACTAACACATTTATTGTGCTTTTTCTCCTGTTAACCTGTCTCTGTACTGTACATGTGTCAGCCTTGTCCCTTATTATGGGCAAGGATAAGTACCACACCCTTTCTGCCCTGTAGCAACTAGAAGCATAGTGTGGGGCCAGTGAGACAAATGAGGTGATGCATAGGTGTGCTATGCCTTACACTGTGGCATTTTCTAAAATGGGCTCCTAAGCTTTGATGACCAATTTCTTCTTTTTCTGAAGCTGGTGTGAAGAGGTTGTTCAGCCTCTGAGAAGAATGTTGTGGATTGTGTAGCCAGAGCTGGTATAATGACCTTCTGCTTAGATAGAATGCATGGTTGAAAATTTGATTCTCTCTGCAACTAAGAAAATGCATTCTAGGGGGTGACATTGTCCAAAAAGAAATGCACTCATTAGCTGACTTATGTAACTGTAATCCTTCTGTACACCACCTTTATAATAACGATAAAAATGAGAATAAAAATAAAATGCATTCTATGATGAATTTTCAAAGGAGAAGAAAGAAATAAAGAAATATAAATCATCAAGTCCATTCTGACCCCAGGCAGTTAAAGCTTGAGCATTGCCTGGGTGTTGTCACAATGCAATGTACAGGAGACAAAGAAAATGTATTTATGTTACCAGATGGCCTGCCTAGGAAACTACCCTGGCTTTAGCAGGTCTACTCTACTTTAATATCCTGAGAACATTTTGGTATGTGCTTGGTACAAGGAGAAGAAGGAAGAAAAATATGTCATATAATTTGGGCCCAACAGCTACTGTCAGTTGTGGTTAAATGGTCCATTTTCTACTGTTAGTTGTCAGGTGGTACAGGGAGGATTCTTACAGCCCATGATTCTTTGCTTTGGGTAGAATCCAGTTCTGCAATTGAAGATGTACTGGTGGGTCCAGGCAAATCAGTGCCACAGCCAAGGAGCCCAATTCCTTAGTAACTGCTGTGCTGTTTGAACCAAAATGGCCTTGTTGGATGGAGCAGCTTCTACCTGAGCCAAGTAACTTAGTGCGGGGATGAGGGAAAGGCCTGGTGTGGCACATCAGGGAGTGGTGGGATGTATGGTATTCTGCCAAAGAGGCCAGTTGCTGTCATTCTGTAGAAATCCATGCCCCATATTGCCAGAGCCTGTGCTTTCTTTGAGGGATGGCAGAAAGCTTGATTTTCATGTGAAACCTCCTAATTGTGAAAACACAGTATGTGCCAAACAAAAACACATCTTGGCCCACGGGCTGTCAGTTTGTAATCTTTGGATAAGAAGTTGTAGCTCTGGCTGTGGGTTTCTTAATAAGGAAATATCTAACTTCCTTTTCTCCTTGTTTTCTTTTGTTTTGGTCAGGCTTACTAGAAAGCAGCACCCGGCTGAAACCTCACGAAGCCCAGAACTACAGAAAGAAGGCATTGTGGGTCTCCTGGCTTTCCATTATTGTCACCCTGGCCCTTGCAGTGGCTGCCTTCAGTGAGTATCAGGAATCTTGCTGATCGATATGGGCTGGTGTTGCCTGTCTTATTCTCTAACCCCTGTGGGATATGCTTTTGCTTTTAGTTGACTATTATTGATGAGTGAATTTTTTTTTAGATGGTAGGCTAGTCAAGGTACTTATAAATTAGTAAGATGGCTTCTCTCTCTGCTGAGGGAGAAGATATTATGAAAAAGAGACAGAGCCGTACTGAGAGCCTTGGCACTCATCAGTATGCAGGATTGTGGAAGTAGATGTGGTTGCCAGTGGAATAGTGAAAATAGTCTCTTGGTGGATGCTTTCAGCTCGGGCTGACATGTGACAATATATATCCTTGAGATTCGTATTTTGAGCCTAATGCAACAAGATGAGTGCAATATTGCAGTGAGCTCGAACTCTGCCTCACCCCCATTGTATCCTGCGAAAGGTTTGGAATAAAATCACACATCCATTTTTGAGAAAGAAAAATGGAAGGGCCTTCTCTTAAGTTTTCAGTGGTCACAGAAATGAAAGAATTCATTACAATCAAGGGAAACAAAAGTGGAACCATTCCTGCCTATAGAAAATCCTATTTGGGAATTAGGAAGCCCGCTGACATGTGTTTTCTTGGGGAACATTTGCAGCCTGTGGAAATATGCATGTACTCTTCTTATTGATTGAGCAATGGTTCATAAACATAAGCAGGGACAACTACAGCTCAACCTTGATAAAAAACCATAGGATTTTTTGTTGTTGTTGCTTTTCTTTATTATTTTTGTTTTTAATGCTTAGAAAAAGGGGAATATCTTTTGTGTTTTGTGATACATTTTACTAACACTAGGACCTGAATTCTATAGAATAATAACAAACTTCATATAAGGCATCTCAGAGCAGGAGGAGAATGGACTGTAACTATTAGAAGCTCTGGTTCTGTGTATGTTATTTAAAATTCTATTCTGCCAGGTTAGGTCTGCTGCTGGAAGTTGAAATTGGATCCCAAGAGAGAATATTAGAATTTGACCAAATGCTCCCTTCAAAAGTGGGCATATATTACTTGAAGCAATTCATATTGGAAACACCATGCCATATCTTGGCTCTAAAGAAAAAAAAAACGCCAGCATTTAGAAGCAGAGGGTAATGCATTTCAGAGAATAAACATTTACCAGTGAGCCAGAAATCTAATCAAGAGGAATTCAGATCCTTGAAAACAGCTTCCCCTCCCCTCTTCCCCCCCCTCCACTTTTTAATGTTGAAACAAGAATAACAAGCCCCTGATGTCCCTGGAGGGTAATTTGGCAGTGGTGGCTGGTAGGGGACTCAGGATTTGACACGGTAATTTCCATATGTAAAGAAAAGAGGAATGGGATGAAGGGAGGCGATTTACAGATGGAATAATAGTTACTCAGCCCTGGCCTTGTGCCCTATAAAGCTGTTATGACTTTATCCTATGAGTGTTTGAAAGGAGGCCCTGAGCAAGAAGTCAGGAGAGAACCTTCCTTTAAGAGAATACTGTCACATTTGATGTTTAAACTTCATAATTGGGAGAACTTATGAGGACATTTTGGCCTTTCCATGTTATCTTAAAAATGTCCTGTTTTCTTTAATAGGAAATGGCATGTATAATGCACACAAAGAGCTAGACTGTCGCTTTGTGCAAAGGATTTCCTTTTCCTTTTGAAAATGATTGCACCCCATTATTTCAGCAAATATTCAATTTAACCTATCTGACTTCTTGCTTGTAAATATGGACATTGACATAGCATATCATGACCTGTGTTCTTTTCTATAATCCAGTCAGTTCATTTTCAAATTTACTTGTTCTGATTAGTAAACCAAAACCTGAAGAAGATGAATTATAGTCTTCCCCATTTTAACTCTAGAGTAACTTCACACTGTGTGTGTGTGTGTGTGTGTGTGTGTGTGTGTGTGTGTGTTTCAGTTATTAAACCCTTGGGCTGGTCTCTGATTATGTTGATAGGATTGTTGCTTTACCCTTTAGTTTCCTCAATATATTTAGAACATGAAATGTATAAAATCTCTCTCAAAGTGTCATTAACATGTTGGTTGACATTTGTGGTAAACTTTCCATAGGTTAAAATGGGAAGAAAACAAGTTGGGCGCTGGTGGCTCACCTCTGTAATCCTAGCTACTCAGGAGGCTGAGATCTGAGGATCGCAGTTCAAAGCCAGCCCGGGCAGGAGAGACTGTGAGACTCCTATCTCCAATAAACCACCAGAAAACCGGAAGTGGCGCTGTGGCTCAAGTGGTAGAGCATCCAGGCCCAGAGTTCAAACCCCATGACTGACAAAAAAAAAAAAAAAGGGAAGAAAACAAGCAGAAATTAAACACATAGAAAAAATAAACCGAAATTAAGCAAATTTGAAGTTACATTTAAATTAGTATCTAAAGGAAAATTGTACATTCCATAAATGGCAATCATTTTTCAAAAGAGTGTCATAAGTAGGGTTAATTTGATTAAAGTATATTATATACATGCATGTAACTGTCACAATGAACGCCCTTATACAATAGTTTACACTAATAAAAAATAGAGTATCACAAGAACACTCTGCTTTCCCCCTCCCCTCACCTCCATCAGAGAACTCATTGGACTGTGTACTTTTGTTTATGCATGCATGCGTGTGTGTGTGTGTGTGTGTGTGTGTGTGTGTGTGTGTGTTGTCAGGGGCTGTTAATAATGGTGAAGAGAAAGGCATTGTATTTATGGTCATGTCTTTTTTCTGTTTGGCAGTAAAAGAAGGGGTGAGCAAATGACCCACCCTCAAATGGGATCAATACTGAAGAATGTTATAAATTTGCCTCACTTTTCTTTTTAAGGTTAGGTGGAAGAGGAATAGTTATTAAAAAATAATAAAGCTTACCTAACAGTTTAGGCTTAGGTTCCATCTATTTTTTTAAAAAACTGTTTCAAGTTTTGAGACCTTAGGCTACCTCTGGACTTTTTCTTGCTGAGAGCAGGTAGGGTGCTTTCTTGTGATATTTAGATATACACCTACTGTGACCAGTTGGAATTCTGAATTGCCCTTTTTCTATTTATTTGTAGATACTTTCAATCGGCCATTTCCTTAAGTGAGTAGTTTCTAAAGGACTTAATGCTAAAGCTCACTTAATCAATATCACTGAGTTATTTGGAATAATTCCTCTGACTAGCTTTGGATTGGTTATTTACGTGTCTAGTGTAGTTTGAAAAATAAAGTGGACTTTCAAAGTTTGTCCTTAAAAGTACATTGAATGAGATGTATACGGACTAGTTTTTAAAATACTTGGAAATAGAGTAGTTTGGCCCTGTTCCGATGATCAACATTTGAATTTTTATCACGATTTGTATCAACAAATCCTGGAAGTAGTAGTAGTTCATCCAGGAATATTTTGGAGGGAGCCTCAGTTTGGTTTTTAAATGGATTCTGTTTATAATCAGCAAGCAGTTTGGAAAATGGCAATCCTGTTATGGACAAATGTGAGAAAGGATCTGTTTTAATCACGAGGCTAGGAAGAGAATAGAAGTTTATTCCACAGTTGAGGTTTTTCACACTGTTGATAGCTTTGTTAGGACGATTGGAGAAAATGTATTCTCTGTTTTTGAGGTTTGGGTACAAGTTAATTTTTAGGCACTTGATGCTTGTTCTGTGGGAAATGAAGATATATTTGCAACATTCTCAGGGGAAAACCATTTCTAAGATAGAGAGGTCCATTAAAGAGAGAGGGAGAGAGAGAGAAAAAAGGAGAAGAGTACTCCAAAGATCTCTGATGAGACAGTGGGTAGTGGGGGATGTGGGCAGGAAGCTGTGAGCCACATCCTGGGGGTGTTTGGTGGGATAACTTGTTCCTTGTAAGGGTGTTCGGTGAATGATAAGCACAGAGGCTGCGTCTGAGAGGTGGAAGCCAGGAGAGAGGATCAGGCCGAACTGCCTTTGGGGAACCTTGTCTTGACAATTCGCTGGGTTCTTCCTTCACATCCTTGTGCCCTATCATGTACGATTGTGTGCCAGCCACCCCTGCACTACCCGCTAGGTGACAGCACGTGGAATACCGGGTCCTATCTTAGTTTGCCCTTTTGCTTCCCAGGAGGACCCTCATGATCTTTCTCTGTTCTTCCTTTTTGGGCTCACTGATGCCCATTCCCCAACATCTGGCTACTCCAGCCCACAGATGCTCTTTGTGGTTCCCACAAAGACAGCCACATGCTGTCTATGCCCTAATAACACCCTTTCTCTTGTCTAGACTTATATGCCTTTGGCCCTTGACCACTACCACCATCATAACCTCCTCCTCCTCCTCTTCTTCCTTGGTCTTTTGGTACAGAGGCTTGCTATTGAGCCTTAGCCAAAATTTATTTGTTTCTCCACATTAAATAAAAGGCTAGCTAGATGTTGAAGACTTATGCCAATAATCTTAGCTCCTCAGGGGACTGAAATTCAGAGGATGGGTGCTGGGCAGAAAAGTCCTCTGGACTCCATCTCCAAAATGACTAGCAAAAAAGCAGGGCTAGAGGGGTAGATACAGAACTAGAACATGAAGGAGCAAGCAAGCTGAGTAAGTACAAGGCCCTGAGTTCAAATCAGTATTACCGCCACCCCCTCATCCCCCAAGAAAAAGACTGTCTCTTCCAGGAAGCCTTCCATAGTCCTCTAGGATAATTCAAATGTTCCTTTTCCCCTGAAGCCCCATGGACACCATAGACCAGACACTTGGCACACAATGCTTGAATCGTTTTGATATTGCTTTGTATGCTAATATACACAGTGGGGAGGCCTCTGCCCTCTCTACTCTGTTCCTGGTTCCTGAGATCATTGGCCTGCAGATATTAGTTGGATGGAGTCAGTATTGGCATCTCCCTCTGGAGGCTGCCATAGACATAGCAGGCTGAAGGGTATATTGTTTGCAGGTACTGATTTCAGACAAAGCATAGTGGCTTCTCAGGTGAATGGAAGGAAGGATGGAAGTAGAGAAAGAAGGAAGGAAGGAAAGAAAGGAAGAAGGAAAGAAGGAAGGAAGGACC